GGTAAAAGGGGCTGTAACCGGTGGTGCGATGTTTTCGAATGCGGCAGGCCCAAATAGCGGTATTCAGATGATCATCCCAGATGGAAACATTGCCGTTGATATACTTTTTCAACATTTTCTTCAAGGTCTGGTTTAGGCGTTCGCATTTGCCGTTCGTGCGTGGGTGGAAAGCTGAAGTTAAGGTGTGATTCGTGCGTAGCATGCCCACATATTTGGCAACAATGTTTGACATGAAGTTGGTGCCGCGGTCCGTGAGAATTTCATCGGGACATCCAAATCGAAGGACTATTTCTTCGTATATGAACTTGACAATAGCGTCGCCCGTGGCTTCGGGAACAGCGCGTGCGATTGGCCAATTGGTGGTGTAATCGACGGCGACCAGAATCCAACGATTTCCATTTGCTGTGGTGGGTAGTTCGCCGATAAAATCGAGATGCCAACGGGAGAATGCAGCGGGAATGTCAAGGTTATGCATCGGGGCCTTGTGAGTGTGACGGTCGTCGTTGGCTGTGAGCTGACACTGGGGACATGTCTTGATCCATGTCTGGATGTCTTCCTGCATACCGGGCCACCACCAGCGTGTCTTCATGAGAGCGCACATGGTTGCGGTGCCGGTATGGCCAAATCCCTTGTGGTAATCTTCCACCAAATCGGCACGGCGGGCAAAGACGACGTAGCGTAATTCTTTGGCTTCATTTAACTTCGGTTTGTAATACACCATTCGATCACGAACAATGAAATGCTTCTTGTGTTGCTCGAGTTTATCTTTGATATTTTGGGGCCATTGATCCGGTTGTTTGACATAAAAGCGTGGCCAGTCGTTGCGGGGATCAATGTGGCTTTCTTCGGCCTGTATGGCATATAGGTACTTTGGTTCGAGGTCGGTTGGTGCGGGATCCGACGATGGACCACTGACACGAGAGAGGAGGTCAGGGATAGTGTTTTCAGTGCCAGGTCGATATTGGATGTCGGGGTCATAGGATTCCAGTTCGTTAAGATATCGGACGAGACGACCCGTAGGATTTTTCTGGGATCTTAAAGATTTTAGTGATAAGTGATCCACATAAACTACATAGTTATGGTCACGACTGTCAATGAAACAACGCCACGTTCGAAGGGCATGGAGGACACCTAGCAATTCGCGTTCCTGGGCTGGATAGGAGCGTTCTGCTTTGGAGAGCTTCTTGGACTCGTAAGCCAGAGGGCACCATGTACCATACTCGTCCTGTTGTAGCAAAACGGCACCGAGACCATAGTCCGAGGCATCGGTTTCGATTCGGAATGGCTTCGACATGTCTGGGGATCGAAGTACCGGTGCCTCGATGAGTTTGCTTTTTAATAGGTCAAAACTGTGCTGACATTCTTGGGACCATTGGATTGCGCGCTGTTTTGGTCCAACTCCTCGGGTTAAGTCGGTGATAGGGGCTGCGATACCGGCGAAACCTGGAATGAAGCGCCGGTAATGTTGGGCTAGACCAATAAATTGTCGTACTTCCTGGACGTTCGTTGGAACGGGCCAATCACGTACAGCTTGCACCTTCTGTTGGGATGGGAGAATGCCTTTGGCGGAGATGTCAAAACCTAGAAAGGATAATTCCTCTTGGGCGAAATGACATTTTGTAGGGTTGACGACGAGTTGTGCCTCGTGAAGTTTGCCGAGGACCGCACGGACGTGCTCTTGATGGTCTTCTAAAGATGAACTAAAAATGAGTATATCATCAAGGTACACCATAGCGAATTTATCAAGATAATCCTTGAGTACGGAATTCATAAGCTTTTGGAAGGTCGGTGGCGCGTTGGTCAGGCCGAAAGGCAGTACCAGGAACTCATACTGGCCGTAACGGGTGTTGAATGCTGTTTTGGGGACGTCTTCTTCTCGAATCTTGACTTGATGATATCCGGATTTCAAATCCAGCGATGTGAAATAACGCGCGTCCCGAAGACGATCGAGGCACTCATCAATCCGGGGGAGAGGATAGCTGTTGCGAATGGTAACCTTGTTAAGGGCCCGGTAGTCTATGCACATGCGCATTTCACCATTTTTCTTTTTGACAAAAAGGACAGGGGCGCCCCAGGGGGACGAGCTCGGTTGAATGTGGCCTTTATCTAGCAGACCCTTGAGCTGACGCTGGAGTTCATCCAGTTCCAATGGGCTCATTTTGTAGGGTGTTCGGTTGATGGGATCGGCGTCTGGCGTCTCGATGGCATGTTGGACATCGCGATGTGGGGGAAGACCACTGATGTCGTCACGGAAGACTTGAGAGTATTCAATTTTGAGATCCTTCACCCAGTCCTGATCAATCTTCTCCTCCTCAGCGGCATTACAGAGGTGAACCAAAAAACAGTCGGCTTCATCGTGCTCGAGAAGTTTAGATACTTGCTTGGCAGAGAGAAGGAAGTTGGCATCGTTAGTGGAAGCAGTATCAATAGGATGGATTACATATGAACGCCAATGGTCGGTGATGTATCAGGTATGGAGTGTCCAATCGGGGCGAGGTTTGACATTGACTAACCATTCATCACCTAAAATAACATCGAACTTGCAGTCAAACACCAGGGCGGAAAAGGACGTGGGAAAATTATCGAGAAGACCGGAGACGGTGGCAGAACCTTGAATAGAGGAACGCTGGCCGTTCGCTGTCTCGACAAGCTGTCCGTGGATGGGTTCCGTAAGGGACTCGGCGAGACTCGCAACGCGAGGACTGATGTAGTTGGTGCTTGCACCACTGTCAATTAACGCATGGAAAGAATGCCCGCGAATTGTGAATTTATAGAGAGGTAGACAGCGAGGAGAGACAGTATGTAACGATTGAAAGAAGGTCGAGTCAGGAGATATCACTGGCTTTGATGGAATCACAGGCGAGTATTGGTCAACATCAGAGGATTTTATTTCTTCCACATCCTGACTAGGTTCTAGATTATTAAGGCGGGACGTAACGTTACGACGGTGTTGCTCATCCAATTCTTTATGAGCGCGAGCCCGCTCGCGACAGTGGCGCTGGTAATGACCCGGTTTGCCACACCAGTAGCATTGGCCAGAGCGGGAGTTAGCCGGTCTAGGTCGAGATTGATTCCGGTAATTTGTAGAGTTCAGCTGTGCTACAGTGGCGGCGACGATTGTACTAAGATCCATAGGGGCGACACCATCATGGCGGAGATATTCCGGCGTGGAGGATGCTTGAACACGAGCACCTAGGCGGTTACCGCTTTCGAAAGCCAGAGCTATCTGTATAGCGTCATCAATGTCCAAAGGATTGGCTCGTGTTAGATGGGAAGCAGCATCAGCCACTAAGCCTGTGATAAAACGATCGATCGCTTCATCATCGGTCATGTTGGGGAGGTCCATTCGAATGTCTTCGAAAGCGTCAACATATTCCGTAATGGTGCTGGTTTGTCTCAGTTCACGGAGTCGGACACGAGCCGCGCGATGGGTGTATGCTGGGGCAAATTTGGATGACAATTGGGTCCGGAATTGTTGCCATGTCTCGGGTGCTATTCCTTGCTCCTCCAAATGGTTCCACCAAGTCAGGGCACGACCACGAAGGCGAGAGACGGCGACAACGATCCATCGATCAGTGGGCACTGAATAAAATTGTAAATACCGAGATACCGCAAGGAGCCAATTGTCAATAACGGTAGCAACACGTTCGCCATTATACGTATCAGGTGGAGGAATATTGATGCCAGGTGGCACGGCCGACGTGACAGGCTCGGTTGCAGCAGGCGAGTTTTCTGCATGCTTGGATTGATTGGGTGCCATTTTCGGGTAGTATTTCTCCTCAAATTTTTGTGCAAGCTGCGTAGCGAGTTTCTTCTAGTGTTTCGTTCGGGCTGGGGTAGACTTTAAACGTTCTTCAGAAGGGATACTTTTAATCCGGCGGTACTTCTGGTATTCTTCAACTAATTCTTTTCTTAAAATTTCTTGTACGTGTTCTTCGATTTCGTACAGATTCTTGTCTTCTTCGGATGTAAGGGATATTTTCTCAAGGTTCGGAGGATCAGTGTTCATGGAACAGCCGCTACCAATTGTCGTACTTCACTCGGATCTGATATACAGTCAAGATCACCAAAGTGGTTTGCCCAGAAATATAGGTCTAAAAACGACTGACTTTTTATTATTCTGTTTGTTCTGTCTTTTATATCTTTTCTCTAGTTTACTGATTATTAATCTATTATACAAAAGGGTATTAGCCCTTTTCAGAGTCTATATGTTATTGGTGTTGACTCTTTGCTTGCGAGGGAGTCCGCGGGGAGTTCTGATTGGTCAGACTGGAAACAGGTCACGACATTCTAAAAACAGTAAACGTTGTTTGCAATTCCCAAAAAGGAAGCGCAGAAAAACTGAGGCACGACAAGTACGACACACGACATATGATACAAAAAAACTCTCGGACGGGGAATTGAACCCCGGTCTCCCGCGTGACAGGCGGGGATACTCACCACTATACTATCCGAGAGAGACAACGTCTATCAACGCGCGTTACTGACCGCCGGTATATATACTTTTTCGACGTTACACAAAACGGACTGCTTTTGCAAAAATTTTTCGACAAATTTCGACTTTTTTTCAACTTCCGATCTAAAAAATTTTACGACACGAAAAAATCACGAAAGTGACCTCCTCCAACGCGCTCCCCCAAGTTACACCGAAAAATCTCGAAAAAATTCACGAAAAAAACACGCCCCCCAAATCGACAAGCACGATCTCGACACGCCTCGACGCGCCCCCCCCAGTTGCTCACGTTCCTAAAAAAATCTACACAACCAAAAACAAACAAACAGCACCCCCACCTGCCCCCCCAGTAATCCCCCGCCGTCGCTCTCAATCTGCTATGGCAATGGATGATAGATTCCGCTTTAAGCGAGATGGACTAGGCAAAATTGCCCAATCACCACCAGCCACTCCCAGGCCAATGGACGCTCACTTCGCTGACACTAGTGCTACCCTCAAGGTCACGAATCCCAATCACCCACCAACGATCCAAGAGTTGTACCAACTTATCAGTGATCTTCGTGCCGAACTACGTACTGAGCGTGAGGAACGCCGCCAACTCCAAGCACTTGTTACCAAAATGCTTTTGGAACAAAGTGTTGCTACGCGTACCGTCATTGCCCCCAAACCCGCTGCTACTGGTGCCATGGCATCCAAATACGCCCCCGCCCAAGCTCCGAAGGCTGAATCTTACTCAGACATCACGAAAAAACACGTTCCTAAAAAAACGAGCAATCACAAATCCCAACCTGCCCCCAAAACCAAAAAAATCAGTGAGAAGATAGTGGTCCGTACTCTCCAAGAGTCGACCGGCCCCTCTCAATACAAATTCATCTATGTTCCGTGCCGTCATCGTTTGCGTCAATCTGATGTGCGCAAAATGCTCTCCACGCTCAAAATCCAGCAAAACAGAATACTGGATATCCATTTTCCCAGCCGTGGTGTTGTTGGCCTTTTGGTCCACGACTCCTTTGAAGCTGACCTTCGTGCCCAGTTCACCAAAAACGGTGTTGCAATCAAGGATTTCGACCCTCTTGCTCCAGCTGTAATTGCCGATCCCAAACATGCTGAAAAAACAGATGACGAACGTCGCGCCCTGGCGAAGCAACTCTCAGATGAACGCATTCTCCGAGCTTGCACTCGCCTTCCTCCTATGCTCGGCAATAGCATTGCCGCCTTTTTCAGAAACACTACTTCCTCACTCCGTCTTGATCCCGCCAGAGTAACGAAGTATTTTGATGAACGCCGTAATCCCGCCAAGTCGACTGTCCCCACCAACGCCACTAATTTTTTCAGCGAGCCGGATACCTCATCCAGCAACGCTGAAAACCAGAACGAAATGGACGTGGACCATGACTCCGAAAACGCCCAAGCCCAACCCGCCGAACGCTCCACCAACGATAACCAACAATGATAGATAGAATCAACATAGGTTTATTCAACGCTCGTGGTATGAATCGCAACCCTGACGAATTACTGCAAACGTGCAACGACGACAAAATCGACATTATCTTGATCACTGAAACTTTCCTGACCCAGGGTAAATTCCACTGCCCTTGGGATCAATATCACAACTACGCCATCGTTCCAGAAGGCTCCTTTCGCGGTCATGGGGGACTATCCCTCCTTGTCCGCCCAGGTTTTCCTTACCATGTGCATGTCCAACCGATCCGAAACCAATACTCACTGTCTGCAAAAATAGGTCCCTATACCCTCCACGGCCTGTACCTTCCTCCTCAGTTATCGCCTAGCGATGCTCTGGATAGGTTGCGTGAACTCGAGATTAACGACCGCACCTTGGTGTTTGGGGATCTGAACATCCGTTTGGGTTCCCTGGTTGGAGATCAAAGAGAAAACAACAGAGCTCGTGAGTTCGTGAACTGGTATCGTGCATCCGATCTAACCTTGTGGAATGTGGAGGTGGCGTTTGGTCAACCCACTTACCGAGGTTCTAGAGGATCTAGCATTATCGATCTTTTTCTGTCGAGGCAAACACACTTTCATGATGTACGTATGTGCATTCGTGAAGATTTGTCGCTGAGTTCCGACCACCACTTGTGTGAGCTGTCTTTTGCACCTGTGGATTTTCCACAGCTCCCCCCAGCCAATGCGGTACGTAAAACGTGGAAGCTTCAGCGATTACAGGACCCTGAAGTGTATGACCTCTACGTCCGTCGGTTTGAAGCGAAGGCAGGTGCTCTTCACCGGGAGATACTCAAACTTTTGGAAGACAACCAGTTGCCGTGCGCTGTTGCGATGGAGAATGCCGTGGATAAGCTCTATGAGTGCATCTACAGTGCGTTAGACGAAAGCGTAACACGCTCAGAGTCCCGTCCGAAAACATGGAAATGGTTTTGGAATACCCATCTGCAAGAGCTAGCTGCTCGTCGTCAGAGTTTGTATAAACGATGGCGAAGGAGTAGCGATGACATTGAACGCATCTACGCCTACAAGTCGTATACTGACGCTTGTGCCGAATTGAGTCAGGCCATAAAGGCAGCACGGCAAACCTCCTGGAGACAATTTTGTCAAAAAATGCAGAGTTGTGACTCAACAGAGATGTTAAGTGTTTTCAAAAGAATGCGGCTAAGCCGTAGATCTAACGTCACCTTTTCATCACCTGATGGCCATGCACACGCCGCCAATCAGATGGCTAGCCATCTTGAGACGGTATTCGGTGGGTCCACCGATTTACGGTCTACGCCAGAAGTGATCCCCTCTCAACGTAGACCGACAGTGCCTTTCACCTTGCAGACAGTTGTCAACGCAATACGATCCTCACCCAATCGTAAAGCTCCAGGAGTGGACCATTTTCGAGCAGAAATGCTCAAACCGATATTGCATCTACTCGCTCCAGTGCTTTATGACTTTTTTCAACTTTGTTGGAAATGGTCTTGGACGCCTAAAGCCTGGAGAACAGCGCAAGTGGTACCGATCTACAAGAATAAAGGTTCCGCCGACGATCCCGCCAACTATCGCCCCATCAGCTTGACCTCGGTTTTCCGGAAAATCTTCGAAAGATGCCTCGTACCCCACCTTCTTACCACTATGCCTGCACTAGACATTGCCCAGGGGGGTTTCGCGCTAGTCGTGGAACACTCGACCAGGCACTGAATTTACACGAGTTGATGCAATATCACCGGTCCAGACAGCAGCAGCCTCCTGTCGTTGTCTTCCTTGATATCAAAGCTGCATATGATAGTGTTGACCGCACGATCATATGGGATACGTTGAAGCACTTTGTGAGTCAACCACTGCTAGCATTGCTTCAAAACCTCTTTGATGACATTGTCGTCCAAGTCGTGCTGAAGAACCATGCCTCCCGGGAACTTACGCCAACACATGGTGTCTTACAGGGTTCTATTCTTTCTCCGTTTTTGTATTCGATTTACATTGATTCGTTGCCCCGTTTCCTACGTACTATCTCTTCATCCCCAATGCTTGTAGATATTCCCATTCCCCCTCCATCGGAAGGCTTAAATCTGTGCGTTCGTTCACCCCTTTCTGCCAGATTTGATACGCCATGTGCTGGTCCCCATGCACTGCTAGCAGACCTTCGAGATCCATACCAGCCTTATGTGCATCCCTATGCCTCCCGGTCTTCCTCTGGTGTTCCCCTGGCCCGAGCTCCCATTAATTGTTTGCTTTATGCAGATGATGTGGCGATTGTTGGTAGCCCGGATGATGTACATCGTCTTTTGATGGGTGCAGAAATCCACTCCGGCATTCTTGGTTATCGATGGAGCCCTAACAAGTGTGAGGTGCTTAATGCCCCCGCTGGTGAAAGCTTCCTATTGTACGATCAAGAGCTCCCCCGTTGCGACTCGTTCCGTTACCTTGGTATTCCCTTCTCTCGCTCTGGCATTGATGTAGATCGTTTGCTTCGGCACTCGTTTCGAAAATCAGGTCAAGCGATGCAGAATTTCCGTCGGATGGGATGTCACCTCTATGGCTTTGGTCTTGGAGTGGCGCTTCGTACCTACAAAATCTTCGTTCGTCCGATTCTTGAATACGGCCTTGGGATTTGTCCCCTTTCCGGTACGCCAAGTTAAAGACTTACAAAAGATCCAGGACCAGTGTATGAAACTATGTGTTGGTCGTCAGATCGGCGCTAGGATTAGTACTCATGCGACTGCGTCGCTAGCAGCGTTACCTTCTATGGAATTACGTAGTTTAGCTTTACAGGCCAAATTTGTAATTCGTTCTCAATTTCTCCCCGCTGACACCATGCTGGCACGTCTGCTCCCGCAGCTGCTCTATCCAAACAGTGAAGCGATCATCTATAGGATGCATAGCAATGTGCTGTTCTTGGAATATCAAACGCTCCGTGATTCGTCCCCCAATCTGAAGAATGCTCTGAAGAAAGTGGTTCGATCACATCACGAACGGGAAATTGCCAAAAAAGCGGCCCAGTATGTTACTGTGCGTCGTGGATTGTGCAAACCTGTCTGGATCCTATCCTGTTTTTGCCTTGTACCAATATGGAGCGTCACAGACTCATCTGATGGCGGATCCACTGGCTTCCACCAACCCCGTCCATCCCATGCCGATGTGGCTCCGACCAAGCCAACCGTGAACACTTTTTCCACTGTTCTTTAGTAACGCCAACGCTCAAGGTCCTGATGGCACTCTTTCCTCGGCCGGTGTCAACTCCGTTGCACCCCGTTGATTGGGTGTTGAATCATTTACCCCGTTCTGCTCCGTCTGGCTCCTCCCTTTGGTGTGATGTCTGGCCTGTGCTTCTCAAAGTCTTACGTGAAATCGATCAATCGACCTCCACCGATGACTTTCAACCCGAACCTCCTCCTGGACATGCGCTGCTTCACAATTGTGATTCTCACGCTCACTCACTCCTTTACTGAGCCCAAAAAAAAAAAAAAAAAAAAAAAAAAACCTCCCGATCTGTCGATCCGTCGTTCATCTTTGCATCGCCGCTACTGTTACGTTTCATGCCACCACACTTTTTGTATCACCTAAACCTAATTATTTTTATCCCTCCTCTCCTTTGATCATACAAGGCACGCTGACATGCTTTTGTGAATAGCATTGCCACTATTTATTCAATAAAATATTTGAACTATACTATCCGAGAGAGACAACGTCTTGAAATATTCTAGGGTGAATGTGTGCCGACACTGAAACCCGATAAATGAATATTACAGCCCTGACATCGTTGTTGTTTGTTCCTGCCTTTGCGAAGGTCTTGGGAAAATTGGTGGAGAAGAACAACCCAATTTTCGAGGCGCGACCTGAAGATCTTGGAAATCATTGCTAGATCACGCGATCAGCGAACGATGGAAAAGAAGTAGAATCGACGAAATGATGGAAAACAGTTTAGTTTGAGTTTCGTGATATTTTTGTATGGAAAGGTCTTGTATAGGAAGTAGAACCGTATATAAGGTCGCTTCATCAATTCCTTTAGAAAAAGGACCAACCTTGGATTCTTAGTCCTTAATCTTTGATTCTTATTGAGAATTTATTTCTGATAAACCTACCTGATCGAAGAGATATTCTTGCTATAGCCTTTAGCAGAGCTAGCCTTTTAATTGCGTATTCCCTTTTTTTATTGTAGTACAGTGGGTGTCAAAAGGGTTCGCATCGTCATAGAAAATTCAGTTTTTTGGCTGTAACTTTTGAACTACGAATGCTAGTCACAAACGGTCACAACCATTCAATAGACGTTGTTTACTTCTATTAGTAAGCCAAATTTGAAGTTCATAGCTTTGTTATTGGATGAGTAAACTCAGATCAAAGTTAATTAGTACATGCGAACCCTTTTGACAGATGTAAATATTTTTTATTTAATACTTTGTATGTCCTCCTTTAGCCTTCAAAACTGCTTGAACTCTATCTGGCATACTTTCTATATACTTCTTACAAGTTTCAGTTGTAAATTGATTCCATTCAGTATCTATTCTTTCCCATAACTCAGTCACTCCTTTAGCCTTAGTTTCATACATACTAAGCTTAAGTTTCAGATGATGCCATAGATGTTCAATGGGATTCAAGTCTGGAGACTGAGCTGGCCATGGTAACACTTGCAAGTTATGATCTTCCATCCATTTTTTAGTTAATTTGGCAGTATGTTTTGGGTCATTATCTTGCTGAAATATCATATCTTCACCACCAAAGGAGATACCATAGTAATCCAAAGATTGCCTCAAATGAGTATCCAAAATGTGAATATAGTCTTCTTTCTTCATAGTACCATCCAGGATTTGACAAGCATAGCCAATACCAAAGTAAGTCATGCAACCCCATATCATAACAGATCCATTGCCATGTTTAACAGTAAGATTTAAATGGTGCTCTTGCATAGCATCAGTCTTCCTCTTCCAGCAGTACTTGTTACCATCAGACCCCCAGACATTGACCTTGGTTTCATCAGACCAGACAACCTTTTTCCAATCATCAATAGTCCAATATTGATGAGCTTTGGCCCATTGTAATCTAGCCTTCTTGTGTCTTGCTGATAAAAATGGTTTTTTAATTTTGATTTTAGCTTCAAAACCTATGATCTTCAAAGTTCTGATCACAGTAGAGTAAGAGACTTCATCACCAGAGCTTTTTAGATGTTTAGTCACATCAACAGCAGACTTGAGTTCACCAGAAATCATCTTTCTTTTGATGAAAGATTTAGTCTTCTTGGAGATTAATGGCTTTCTACTAGTAGCAATCTTAGGTAAAGTAGGGAGATGCTTGTTTCTATACTTGGAAACTGTTCTCTTACTTATACCAAGTTGAGTAGCAGTCTTCTTAACCGAAACACCTTGTTGTAGCAGAGTAAGAATGGAGTTCTTGAGATCAGAAGAGATGGATTTCATAATAAGATAATAAAGAAAGATAATGAAGGTAGAAGACAAAAATTAATCTCTTTTTATATCTTTTTGTGACTTAAATGACTCATTATGACTCATAATGACTCATAATGATACTTATATTTCTTTTTTAGATTAGATTATCATAAGAAAACTCAGAGAATCTGATCATTTAATGTAACTGTCAAAAGGGTTCGCATGTACTAATTAACTTTGATCTGAGTTTACTCATCCAATAACAAAGCTATGAACTTCAAATTTGGCTTACTAATAGAAGTAAACAATGTCTATTGAATGGTTGTAACCGTTTGTGACTAGCATTCGTAGTTCAAAAGTTACAGGCAAAAAACTGAATTTTCTACAATGATGCGAACCCTTTTGACACCCACTGTATATCACTTGGGTTCTTTACAGTCTTACCATTTGATATCGCTCCTGTTTTTATTGTAAATTACTTACCTTAGACACAACACTCCCGATTGCACATATCATTTTGGTCTGGCTTGCCAGATCAGTATCTACTGTCAGATTAGTTTAGATTAGAAAAACCCTTTTTCCCTTCCTTTCTCGAACGATACGTACCTGCACGATGATGAAGTTTCTGTGCGAACCGAAGGACTTTTCCAGTGAAGGAAAGTATCCTGGAGATGACGTTTCTAACGAGGCGCTTGCATGGCTGAAGAAGATGGCCAGACTAAGAATATCGTCTAAGTGGAAAGACGAGGAGATTCTTTTGGTCACAGGAGACCATCTTACCGGCAAGGCCGAAAGCTGGTGGAACGTTTACAGTATGGTTCAGTGTGCACTACGTGGGAAACCTTTGAAAAAGGTTTCAAGAAACAGTTCGTTGGTGACCAAGAAGATCGTTGGTGGACGCAACTACAAGAGTTATGTCAAGGTCCAAGGCAGAGTGTCGATGACGTGGCTGTCAAACTGGAAGAATTGTTCATGTTATTGGACATCAAGAGTCAGTCCTTCCGTATGCATACAGTACCTTCCTTGGAGCGATCAAGAAAGAAATCGCTTTCGAAGTTGAGAAAGACGGATTAGCTCGAAACCTGGAAGAAGCCAAAGCGAAGGCCAAGAGAATCGAGGTCATAGTCAAGAAGTATGACTCTTACGGCTTTCCGGGTGGTTATGAGGGAAATTCCCTAGCATCATTTGAACATAGCGAACTGGAGTCGGCCAGGTCGACTATTGAGTCATTGACGGAGAAGCTGGAGTGCTTGCAAGTAAACTACGTTCAGTTGGAGCATGCCGCGAGTTCGGGAAATCCTAGTGTGATTTCGACTTTCGCGAAGAAAGAAAAACCTGGTCCTGTTTGTTTTCTGTGTGGAAAACCGGGTCACAGAAAATTCCAATGTCCATCAAAAAAACAAGGCGGCGATCTAATTGTAGCGGCGACGGGAACCAATACTACTCCGATTGGTTCGGGAAAAGATCAGGGGCGTCAGTAAAGAATGGGCTGACTGGCGTCCAAAAACAGAAGCCCATGAAGACCTCAACTGGTGGCGAGGTGAAGTTGGTCGATACGGTGCATGACGAAGTCAAGAGTCTGGTGTCGGCTAACGAGGTACAGAACGTCAAAAGAAGAGCTGAGGCGCCACCCATGGTTACTGTGGCGGAAAGGCCCCAAGTGCAACGGAAGAAAGTTGCCCATCCTGAGGAAGAAAACAGGATCGAAGTTGCTCCAGTTGGTTTATCGAGTGCTCCTGTGATCCCCCAAGTGGATAAGGGGAAGGCTCTGGTTGATGCGGTGGTCCAAGATCAGGTTGTGCGTAAGCCTGTTGTCAAAAGAAAAACGCACTCGAAGGCGAGAAGGTTACCGGTTCCGGTTGAGAAGACTAGTGTGTGGCGTACGTTGATGAATACGAATGCTGGTGTTTCCTTGGCACAATGGGTAGCGACCGATACAGTAGCAAAGGTGCTGGAGGAACGATCGATGCAGGATGGCAGATTTTTTTTAACAAGGATCACCATCACTTACCTTGCTTGGGCCATATTTTGAATCTTGCCATCCAAAGTGCCTTGAAAGATGGGTTGCATGCAGAACTGTTGGCTGACAATGAGGAAGAGCATGGCCAATCCAGCAATGTAGTGTCAAAATTGCGAACCGGGATCAAGATGATTAGGTATGTGGAGTAATACAAAAAATGAAAATGGGCTTTTATCAGAGAACTACAATAATTTTACTTGTAGACGATCGACCTCGAAGTATCAAAAGTTCTATATTGATTCATGCAAGAGTTTGTACCATGAGGTCAAGCAATTGAACCTTGATGTGAAGACTCGGTGGAATTCCACCATGGTGATGGTGGAGCGAGTGCTGGAAGTACGAGAGGCATACAATGAGACGTGCTGTTATTTTTCTGAACTTTCCGAATTTGCGCTCTCAGATGAGGATGTGACCTATTTGCAACGAGTTGTTGTCCTTTTTTCGATGTTTTCGGGAATGACAAAGGTGGTTTCTTTGTCAAGGTATGAAATATAGCTTGAATTTTGACTTTACACGACTTTCTGATGGTTTTGAAAATAGGTATCCTTCGATCAACATCGTAGTCTTTGCATACAATGTATTGCTCGATCAGATCGAGGATTTCCGCGATGAAAGAAATCCGCCTGAACTCTCCGAAGCAGCAAGAAGAGCACAGGAAAAGCTGCAGCAATTTTATGCCAAAACAGACCAAAGCCCTGTGTATGCGACGGCAACAGCATTGGATCTGCGATTAAAGTACGCGTACTGGACGGAACAGAACTGGGAGCCAGAGTTCATTGCTGATGCAAAGTGCAAAGTTCAGTCAGCTTGGGCGGAATGGAAGGGCCCTGATCATGTTGAGGAAGACAGAAGTGACGACGTGCGCAATGTGTACTGACCAAAAAGATGCCGGGTGCTTGACTCGTTGCAAGCATATGTAGAGGCACCTTTGCTGATTGAGGCCAGACCCAGCAATGACGATGAAAACAGCTGTGAGCTTTTGTTTTGGCAAACTGTGGGGCAAGTCTAGTACCCTCAATTGGCGAAGATGGCACGTAAGTATTTTGCCATTCCAGCAACATTGACACCATGTGAGCAGTTTTTTTCTCGTGCGAAGCATTTCATTCCTGCTGTGCACAATCGGTTGCAACCTGAGCCGTTGAAGCAGAGTATCCTTCTGAACTCGTGGCTTTAAGCTCCTCCTCCCATTCCCTTCGGTTTTTTTTTCGCCTTTGTTCTCCTTTTTCCTCTTCTGTTCACTTTTTTTCTCTTTTCTTTTTTTTTCCGCTCTTCTATTCTCTTTCTTTTTTTTTCTCTTACGTTCTCTTTTTATTTCCTTTTTTTCTTCCTTTTTATATCTTCCGCTCTCTTTTCTGTATATCTTTTTCCCCCTTGCATTCTTTCTTTTATATCTTCCATTCTCTTTATTTTTTACTGTATCTTCTGTTTTTTTTTTTTTGTCTTTGCCATAGATTTTCTTTTCATTCATAATAAATTCTGATTCTGATTCTGCTTCTTTGATTGTGTCCTCATTTGGAATCTGTGCCATGTCATCACCATTCTAAATCAGATTTATGGGTTACTAACAGGTTACCGGGTCGGGTCAGCAGTTGAACCGTGATGTCAACGGGTCGGTTCAGTCATTGACCTATAATGTCAACGGGTCGGGTCAAGCCTTGACCCGAACTGGTGGGCGGGTCAGAAAAGATCAATCCGAACCGTAAAAAAAACCAGTTCGGTTCGGTTCGGGTCACTGACCTGCTGACCCGTTAAGGAACCCTAGCAGTAACCAGGTTACTCTTGAAATTCGTGCCACGATCTGTCAAGATTTCACTGGGGCACCCAAAGTTCATTATGATTTCTTCATAAATAAAATCAGCAACTGCTTCGGCAGATGCCTTTGATACAGCACAGATACTGTAATCGGCCAATTGATGGCATAGTCGACAGCAACAAGAATCCAGCGATTTCCTCAGAGTGTAGTTGGTAGCTCCCCAATAAAATCAAGATGCCATCAATAGAAGGCCTTGGGAACATCTAGAGGGTGCATTTCACCATGTGGGCTTCGGCTTCGTTTTTGGTTGATTTGACAAGTGGGGCAAGCACGTAACCATTTTTCAATATCACAGCATACAGTATCTTCGGCCACCAAAAACGAGTCCAGAAGATATCTAACATGGTCTTGAGTCCAAAGTGTCCAAAAGATTCGTGGTAATGGGCAATGGTGTCAGCGCATTCATGAAATTCCAGGAAACGAACTTCCATTACTGAGTCATCAGAGAGCTTGACCTTGTGGTAGATTTCATTGCTTTGGATGATGAATTTTTCTTGGTTATGCTTGACAACGGTACGGGCATAGTTAGGGATCTTGTCATCATCGAATCTGTAAAAGATGGGCCAATCGGTCTGATGGGGAAAATGCATTGCATACAAAAATTCAGGTTCTATGGACGCTTCAGCGGGTTCACTGTGGACACCATCCCAGCGAGATAAATAGTCAGGGACATCATTTTCTTTACCGGGTTTATATACAATTTTGGGGTCAAACAGTCCTAATTCGGAAATCCATTGGATTAGGCAAGGCATCAGCTTGATTTGTTGGCAGAAATATTTGAGCGGCAAGTGATCCGTATACACAGTGTACTTGCGTCCATCGATTAAACAACGCCAGGTTCGCAGGGCATGGAGGATTCCGAGGAGTTCATGTTCTTGGGCAGGGTAGGCGCGTTCAGCTCTTGACAGCTTTTTGGATTCAAAGGTGAGAGAATGAAAGTGGCCATTGTCATCAGCTTGCAGCAGGACGGCACCTACACCAAAATCAGATGCATCGGTTTCGATAATATAGGGCTTATCTATATTTGAGCTTTGCAGGAGTGGGGCTGAACATATCTTTCCTTTGATAGCTTGATAACTGGCTTCACATTTGTCGTTTCATATGACAGGTCGTTTTGGTCTCACACCCTGTGTCAAGTCGATAATTAGAGCAGCTAAACTTGCAAACCCAGAGATGAAATGTTGATAGTGCTGTGCTAGACCCATGAAACTGCCATTTCTTGATCACCTTGATTTTCTTGTCTGCAGGGAGAATACTGTTGGCCGAGATCTTGAACCTCAAGAAAGTCAGTTCATGCCAGCTAAATTCGCATTTCTTCAAATTGGCAATTAGCTTGGCTTCACATAGTCGTTCCAGTACATGTTGCACATGCTTTCGATGGTCGTTTTCGTTCTTACTAAAAATCAAAATGTCATCGAGGTACAGTGGCTGAAAAAATTGTCCAAACCTATGCTGTTTTTTTACGTTTTTATTCATACTGCAGCTTTTGCTATATGTATCGTCCGAATTTTTTTTATATGAAAAGTACATTCTCTTCTCTACATTATCGCGAAATCTCGAAGATCGCATTGCAATTCATCGCATTGCATTCACTATTTCAACATGATCGGTCGGTTTGGACAATTTTTTCAATAAATCCAAAAATAAGAAAAAGTGTTTTTTCAGCTGTTTTTCTTCCATGCCGGTATGAAAAACGCTGGCAAAATAAAAGTATCTTTATGGCAACGTCCTCTAAAAAATATACACAAAGCATTCCGGGCAGAATTGTGCAATTCATAAACGCCATTAGCTCCATGTTGAATTCGGTGCATAATGGGTGGATCTGGGGACTGCCATCACACTGCATCTTTTTTTTGAGCACGTTTTTCATAGTACCGCGACTTTTTTTTTATTTATAGAAAAAGAGAATTCTTTTCTCTATGCTGTGCTGAAATCCCGAGCATTTTACTCCAATTCATCCTAATGCCATTACCAATCCTGCATGTGATCTACATTAAGAATAATGCTCAAATGACATGAAAAAAAAGCAGCCGAAAAAGCCTGGGAAATAATGTTGCGGTGAACAAAAACCGTGCTGGTGTGCATTTTACAGCCTTTCGGATCATATTCAAGCTGACGAAAATGCTGGAAGAATAAAATCTGCTTAGCTATGTGGTCAGATTAACCTCATGCTTGTCATAAGCGCACCCTCCGCATTTCACTCATTATAGCAGATCAACGTACTCCTGATAAGCTTAACAACCTCCGGGTGCCTTTTTTTGCATAGTGAGAGCCTTAAGAACGTCATTACTGCTGGCTTGTGGCTATTTCCCGGTAAATGATCTGACATGATGAGTGAAATGCGGAGGATGCGCTTATGACAAGCATGAGGTTAATCTGACCACATGGTGTAAGCAGATTTTATTCTTCCAGCATTTTCGTCAGCTTGAATATGATCCGAAAGGCTGTAAAATGCACACCAGCACGGTTTTTGTTCACCGCAACATTATTTCCCAGGCTTTTTCGGCTGCTTTTTTTTCATGTCATTTGAGCACCATTCTTAATGAAGAGCACATGCGGGATTGGCAATGGCATTAGGATGAATTGGAGTAAAATGCTCGGGATTTTGGCACAGCGTAGAGAAAAAAATTCTCTTTTTCTATGAATAAAAAATAAGTCGCGGTACTATGAAAAACGTGCTCAAAAAAAAGATGCAGTGTGCTGGCGGTCCCCCAGATCCGCCCATTATGCACCAAATTCAACCTGGAGCTAATGGCATTCATGAATTGCATGATTCTGCCTGGAATGCTTCGTGTATATTTTTTAGAGGACGTTGCCATTAAGATATTTTTATTTCGCCAGCGTTTTTCATACCAGCAAGGAAGAAAAACGGCTGAAAAAGCACTTTTTTTTATTTTCAGATTTATTGAAAAAATTGTCCAAACCGACCGATCATGTTGAAATGCTGAATGCAATGCGATGAATTGCAATGCGATCTTCGAGATTTCGCGACAAGGTAGAGAAGAGAATGTACTTTTCATATAAAAAAAATTCGGACGATACATATGGCAAAAGCTGCGGTATGAATAAAAACTTAAAAAACTGGCATAGGTTTGGACAATTTTTTCAGCCACTGTAAATCAATGCAAAATCGTCCAAACAATCACCAAGCACTTCGTTCATGAGTTGTTGGAACGTGGGTGGGGCATTAGTGAGACCAAACGGGAGGACCAAAAATTTGTATTGACCGTAACAAGTGTTAAAAGCCATTTTTGGAATATCTTCGGGAGCAATCTTGACTTGGTGATAACCACTTTTAAGGTCGGGACTGGTGAAGTGTTTCGCGCCTTGAAGTCGTTCTAAACATTCATTGATTTGCAGAAAAGGATGCTTGTTATGGACAGTCAGCTTGTTGAGTGCACAGTAGTCGATACACATTTGCATTGATCCATCTTTCTTCTTGACAAACAATACCAGCGCACTCCAAGAAGAAGCACTGGGTCGCACTAAATCGAGATCGAAAAGTTCCTTGAGTTGTTTCTTCAGTTCATTCAGTTCAGCAGGGCTCATCTTATATGGGGCACAGTTCACAGGCGTAGCATCACCGGTGTTAACGGCATGCCAAACTGATCTATCCGGCAGGAGCCCAGGGAGTACATTTTGAAAAACGTCATTAAATTGTTTCACCAAGTCTTCCCAGACAGTGTCACAGTCTTGTGTGTTGTCAGGAGACTTGAGGTGAAGCAGGAAACAATTGGCTTGGTTACAGTACGTTGCAGGTCTTTTTCAACTTGTTTGGCCAAGATCAAATAATTCAACTGCAGTCTTGATGCAGCACCACGTTGCGGAACTAGATGGTAGTCTTGTTCATTTTCTCGGATACGCCATACATCGGTTCGGGTCTTACAGAGTGTAACCAGGTTCATCCAAGGATCAGGTCGAATTTTGTGTCGAAAATGTTTGCGATCAATATATTGTGGAAGCCATTCAGATTGATGTTCAATATAGCCTTTCGATCGACTGTTTTGATGTCACCACTGGCAGTCTCAATCATACACGTGAGAGTTTTTTCAGTCTTCATGGCATATTGGGTCATGCAGGAGGATATGTAATTGTCACTGGCACCACTGTCAATCATTGCAAGGAAAGTATGACCATGAATTATAATGGGATACAATGGCAAATCAGTTTCGGAGGTCATATATAGATGGCTCAGGTAAGAGTTATCTTCATGATCAACAGTAATAATAGAATCGTCAATGTAAGCAGAAACATTTTCTTTATTGGAGTCATTTGTAACAACTGGAGCTTGAGAGGAGGAATTTTCTTCTATCGTGCACAACTGACCCTCCTTCTTTTCAGTTGTGCCCTTCAAAAACCTGGCGGGCATCATCCATCTTCTTGATCTCCGCCAGACGGACCTTGCAATAATGCTTTATATGACCAGGCTTGTGGCAAAACTAACAGCTGTCATCTTGCTCTTTCTTGCGGTATTCAGGTCTATGGTGTCTAGGGCGTGGTTTCCTTCCGATAAAATCGAGGTCCATCATATCATCTTGACGGGGAAACTTGGGACAGGCCACAGGAGGAGCACCAATGCGTTTACCACTTTCAAATGCCAGGGCAAAACGGACAGCTTCATTGAACAAATGAGGATCACGAGTGACCACATGGATACAGGTGTCTTCTTGCAGTCCACAGATGAAATGGTCGAGAGCTTCCTCGTCAGAAACAGTAGAGACTTCTAAAAGAACATCATGAAAATTGTCAACGTATTGTTCCACTAATCCAGTTTGACAAAGGTTTACCAAACGATCACAGGCAGCTCGATTCAAGTGGCTAAGGCAGAATTCGCCATTCAGTTCTCTCTTGAAGCCTTCTCAGGTAGCAGGAACCATGTTGTCTTTTTCGAGTCTTCGGCACTAAATGTCAGCACAATCACGTACTGTATATACAATATGATATTTTGAAGAAACGTTAGTGGTGGCCCAAGATGAAAGACGATATTCATAAATAGTTGTCCAAATGCTCTCAGTGCCAGCTTGCTGCATTTACCAATCAAAATAAACATTATAGTCCCATGCAACCTCTGGATATACCACTAGCTTTTCTCTATTGATATCTTAATTTCATTGGTGAACTTCCTGAACTGTTCAAGGCAACCGATGGATTCTAATTGCAGTTAACTATTTGACAAACTGGCCTATCACTTATACAGTCTCTAATGCTACTGGTCAAGCCATCACTCAATTCATCTACAGTATAAAGAAATCACCATGCATTTTAGGTGCCCTGATGAAATATTGACTGACTGTAGTGACAATTTTATGTCCAATGTCCTATACAGTATGAATATATCAAGAAGATCAAGTCTCACTATAAGTTTATATCTACTTTCTACCCTCGAACAAATGGTAAATATGAACAACTTAATAGTATCATCGGATAAATATTATAATAGGACACATATGCTATATATAGTAATTATATTTTAAATTTATTAATAATTTTTATTATATATTATTTACTATATTTTTGAATTTATAAATAAAAATTTCTTTTATACTGTATTTAAAATTTTAAAATTAAAATAATAATAATGTATTTTTAAAATACAATTCAATTCTTTTTTATTTATTAATATAAGTTTTTTTAAATATAAAGTTATTATATATAATAATTAATATACTATATTTGAAAATTTAAAATTATGAAAAAGTTTTATTTTTAAACTTTAGATTTTATATTTTTATTTAAAGTTAAAAAAAGTTATTATTATATTTCATTATTATTAATAATATATCAACTACTGTATTCATTATTATAATATATATTTTATTTATATTATTTTACTTAATAAAAAGTCATAGTGGGGCATCTAAAGATATAAATAAAAGTTATTTATTTTTAGATAATAGCCCCTTTTATTTCTTTTTTATCTTTTTTTTATCTTTTTAACTTTTTTCTTTTTTTTCTTATAAATTCATAATTTAACTTATACATAATATAATCATATATTTTTTAATTATATATAAATTCAATTTTTATTAAATAAAATTTATCTGAGTTTAAATATATTAAGATCTGTGTGTTATTATAATGAGGAACTATTGTTATCATTATAATATAATATAATATTTAAAAAATATATATTATATTTTAAAGATACAAAATTTATTATTTTTTATATCTGATTTAAAAATTAAAATAAAAATATATTATTATGTCATTAAATTATTAATTGTATCAAAAACTAAAAAAAAAAGGTCAGTGGGGGTGTCTGACGTGGGTAGCATAAACAAAGTGTTGCTACTTGTCTATGGGTGTGGTATCATGATGTTGTGAGGTCGTCAACATTCATGATACGTTCTGAGGGTAGTGGCTGTTCCTCTTACAGTGACTCAGGAAATTGATCCAATGTTCGCCGATTTTTTACTTTATTGCAATTATCTCCACAACTATCATACGTATTGTTTCCGTTAAAAAAATATGTTGTAGCCCTAATTCATAGCTTTAAAACAAAAAAAAGATGAAGTCTCTAGCATAAGTAGATGATGAGTAATTGTTTTTTCCGCACAAGTACTCATTGGATCAATTTCCTGAGTTGCCTACTTTTCTTGCAGACAGTCACAATAAGTAAATAGAATCGCCGAATTTTTTCTCCTTCTCACTTCTTTCAGTTATTTATTCCGATTCAAGGTGAAATCCGCATCCATTTCGCTCAATTCCTTCATCCGATTCCTAATTGACCTAATTAACATGATCATCTGTAGATGCATTCGATTTCACAAGATAAAATCAACAACATTGAACAACAACTTCGCGAGAACATTTCTCA